GACTTGCAAAACTCAGATGTCCAGATCGTCTTGGAGGAAATCACGCCAGTCCGGCGGCTGCCAAGAATCGATGATGCGCCTGGAGCCACCGCCCGTGCTGCCGCCGATGTCCAGGTAGTCGCCATCGCCCCTGAACAGTCGGCCGTGCCCCAACGCCAGAATCGCTTGGTTGCGGATTTGAAGCAGCGCTCCGCTCTCAAACATCTGCAACACGTCCAGCTGCCTGCGCGTGAAGTTCGGCTTTGGCTGGCCAGCCTGGGCAGACTGATGGAGGGAAAGCCGCTCCCCCTCGTTGTAGCGCGCGATGGCCTCGGCCTTCTGGTGGTGCAGCCGGCGCCGCCGTTGCCGCAGAGCTTCCTCGGGAACTGCTGCATCACGGCCCTCACTGTGATCAGCTTGCAACGCTTGCGTTAGCCAATCAACGTCGAAGCGCCCTGAGAAGGCCAGCACCTCCCAGATCTGTTAGGTACCGGCCACACGTTGCAAATGGCGATGCCACCGCTTACGCTTCTGGTCTTTCACAAACTTGGCGACGCTACCCAGACCTGCACCCTTGGCCTGGCCACCTTTTCCCTCAGGCTGAGAAGCACCGTGAGAACCTTTCTTACCGCCTGGCCCTTTGTTCGGACCCTGCGGAACCGCATGGCCCCCTTGTGGCGCAGACTTGCCTTTCTCTTTTCCCTTTTCGATATCCCGTTCCTGAAGCGCACGCTGCTGCCGCGACTGCTCGTACTGGTCGCGAGCTACTCTGACCAATTCCTGGCGCTCAGGCTCCGTGAGAACGTAGCGCATGTCGACGATGTTCTTGCTCCGCAGAAAGTCATGTCGAAGCTTAAGGACAGAGAGAATGGCTCGGCCAGTCTCCTCCTGAGACGCAAAGGCCGCGTCGTATTCCGAGCCAGGCTGAGGAGCGCCAGCTGGATTAGTGTCCGCTGGCTCCGTGGACTTCCTCTTTTTGAAAAGCAAGAGACTGAGATGATGGAGGACTTTCGGATCGTACTCCTCGTCGTACCTGTCGTCCCAAAGCTGCCTCAGCTCCCTGTGCAAGTCGTCCGCGCGATTCTGAACGACATCCTCGACGTAGTCGGGATCACCCGGTGAAGTCGGTGAAAGCGGAGGAGCAGAACTCGGCGACCGATCCCAATGCACAGCAGACTCGCGGTCCGCCTGTACGCTGACGTCGGCGTCGGAGACGTTTTCGACAACAATTTTCCGCCTCTTGCTCTCCCCAGGCTGAATAGCACCAGGGAGAGTGAGCACAACCGCCACCGCATCGTGTGCGTCGTTGCGCATGCCACGATCCGTAAAAGACGCGCCAACGGCAATGGAGCAGAAACGGGCGACTGCTCCGCAGACCGCGACGTGGTCGCCTTTGAGTTCGGCCGGAGTGGCATGGACCTCCCATACCTTCTCGTCGTTCTGCTCGCGCTGGTAAGCCTCCCGCGCCTCCTGGAAAGTGAGGTTGTCGTCGCCGACTACAAGCACAACGACTGCCTCGTTTAGAATCTCAAGAATCTTGGCCAGGCCGTCCAGGTGCAAGCGGAGATGGCGAACTGTCCGCTTTCGAGTCTGGATGCTCGGCGGTTTCTTGCCGCACACGATGTGCATGTTGGCGATCACCACGTGGATCTTGTCATGGCCTGGTTTGTTCACCTCAAAATGTGAAATAACAGCATCAATCTCTCGGCCGCTAGGAGGCCTGTAAACTTTGCTGTCTTCGCACAGAGTCAGTTCCGCAGGCTGAGAAGCTCCGCGGAACCCCCAGAGAGTCAAGTAGTTGTCGACCTCCGAGAAGCGAATGCCATCACCGAAAGGCTTACTGAGGATCTCTGTCACGTTGATCCCTGCTCGGCGAAAGCCTTCACGGAACGCACCGACCTCGCAGCCACAGACAATATCAGCATCAGCGGTCTCCACTATCGTGGCGCACAACCTTCCGAAGTTAGCGCAGTGAGTGGCCGCCTGCTTACCAGTCATCATGCCCCGCTCGAACCCGAAATTGAACGAGGCGACCGTGAAAGACGCAGGCTGCACAGCGCCAGAACCAGGCGTCTGTCCACCTTCCTCCGCAGGCTGAGAAGCACCGCGAGGCGGCGCAGGCTGAGAAGCACCGCGAGGCGGCGACACTTCGGACGAGCCTCGCGGAGCAGAGGCTGCGGATGAACGTTGGACATGGGGGTACGGCCAGGGGACCGCCATTGCAATCAAAACTCAGTGGTCTGCAGTGAATGAATGTCAGAAAACAATTAACAATTAAAAAGTGGCACGATTGGAATGCAGGGAGACTGAGTGTAACTAACCTAAAAATAAGCTAAAAGAATAAAAACTTAAAAAAAAAAAAACAGAAACTAAATAAAAACAAAATAAAACACAAAAAAAAAACAAACCTAACCAACATAATGGTAAAAAAAAAAAAAAATCACAAAAAAAAATAGAAAAAAAATCTAAACTTAAAAAAAAACATTATAAAACTAAAATGAAAGCAAGTCCTGAACCAAACACAGCTGTGGCGGAAGGAGTATGAAGCGTCTGGCTATTCAAAATGTGGCCCGGGAATGGAGTTCTGGAAACTCGAAGACCAGAAAGTGGACTAGAGTTGGCTCCGGGCATCCAAAATGTGGCCCGGGAATGGAGTTCTGGGAAATGGAAGAGCACGAAGTGGCTTACAGTTGGCTCCGGGCATCCAAAATGTGGCCCGGGAATGGAGTTCTGGGAAATGAAAGAGCACGAAGTGGCCTACAGTTGGCTCCGAGCATCCAAAATGTGGCCCGGGAATGGAGTTCTGGGAAATCGAAGAGCACGAAGTGGCCTACACTTGCATCCGGCCCCCCACAGCATGTGGCCTGGGAATGGTGTTCTGCAGGGCAAGAGCACGAAGTGTGTGACGTTTGCATCCGACAGCCCGCACGGCTCACTGCCGCCCGGCAACTCCCAACACCTGCCCGGACCCCCCTGTGGAGTGATCTGCTGCTCTCTTTTGATCCCACTAGAAACCTATCAGTCTTCGCTGTTAGGTAAAAGAATCCCTGGGAGGCCACAGTCGACAAAACCAAGGAGATCGACGCCTCTGGGTCTGGGGACCTGGTCGCCGCTGGTCGGAGTGAAGGGGGCCGAGCGGTCGTTCGTAGTCCCCGGGTGCGTGGCAGAAAGGTCGTTGCGTCGGGCAAATCCTGCTCCGCCGTGCTGTTGCGTTGTCGTCGCGTCGTCCTCGCCCGCGACCCGCCCGCGACCCGCTCCGTGACCCACCCCGTGCTCCACACCCCGTGACCCCCCCGCCACACACCCGCGACCCACAGGCGACACCCTCTCCGCGCCCGCATTTGCGGGGTGCTGCGTGCACAGGGTGTCGACCAGAAGAAACCTTCCACAGGAAACCCAACCCTGAGACCCCAGGACGTCCAGTGGTTTCTGGTGTGGCACGTCACGCTCTCCATCGCAAAACCATCGAACCCCAAGAAACCCAGGGCACCCTGGAGGCAAGCAGATTGTTTCTTGGCATGGGTCTCCACTGTATCATGCGTATCTCGCCTTATCGTGCTTCTGGACGCCCCCGAGGTCTAGGAAGCCTCCAAAAAGGTCCCCGACAGCCCGCGATGCCCCCCGAGATGGCTTCCCGTTGCCTCTGACGCTGCCGGCGGGCCTCCAAGACTGCCCCTGTCACGGCGCCAGCACAGCCCCAGATCGACCCAAGACGGCTCCGCATCGTCCCCACCCAGCCCGAATGACTTCGAAAACGGCCCCGAGATCCCCGATGGAACGCCAGGATGGCCCCGAATAGGCCCCAAATCTATGGGAGAGCTTTCAGACAGCCCCAGACAGACACTACACTCGGAAGCCAGGCAAAGGCTGCTAAATCCGTGGCTGCTAAAATCGACCTCCGGGAAGTTGTCTTCGTCCTTCCGGGAAGGAGCCCGTTGACTGTTTCGCGTGCCGCGCCTCATTCCGGGAAGTTGTTTCTTCCTTCTGGGAAGGCCGTTTTAGCAGCCACGGTTTTAGCAGCCCTCGCCCAGCTTTCGATAGACGGCCCCACTTGATACCCCCCCCAAAGCTCACTGATTGGGCGTGTTGCGTGCGAGTCGTCCCCTAGGGGTCAGACCCACACCCAACTCTAGACGCGCCTGCTCTGTCTTGCTCTTCCGTTCGTTTCCTGCTCTGTCCCCGTCCCAGCCCTTTCCTTCAGAATCGTCGGCGTGGCGCAAGCCTCGTGAGCAGTCTGGAGTATTCGCGCTTGAGTCAAGCGGCCACGTGGTGTTGACACGCGATCCGCTTAATCATTTACCCCCCCCATTGTCAACACCCTCGGCCCAGTCCCATCCTCCTGCTCAACTCCCCCCCTCCCACTCTCCCTCCCTATCCAAGTCCAAATTCCCTCTCCCCCTTCCCCATCCCCTGCTACTCCTCTTCCTACACCCCCGTAGCCAATGACGACGACGACCTCGTCCTCGTCCTCGTCGCCGTCCTTGCCCTCGTCGCCCTCGCCGCCCTCCTTCCTCGCCGACTTCCTCGTCGCCGCCGTCGCGGCCGACGTCGCCGCCAGCGTCCTTGTCATCGCCTTTCGTCGCCGTGCGCTTGAGTCAGGCGGCCACGTGGTGTTGACACGCGATCCGCTTAATCATCTACCCCCCCCATTGTCAACACCCTCGGCCCAGTCCCATCCTCCTGCTCAACTCCCCCCCTCCCGCTCTCCATCCCCATCCAAGTCCACATTCCCTCTCCCCCTTCCCCATCCCCTGCTACTCCTCTTCCTACACCCCCGTATCCAATGACGACGACGACCTCGTCCTCGTCCTCGTCGCCGTCCTTGCCCTCGTCGCCCTCGCCGCCCTCTTTCCTCGCCGACGTCCTCGTCGCCGCCGTCGCGGCCGACGTCGCCGCCAGCGTCCTTGTCATCGCCTTTCGTCGCCGTCGACATCCATCGCTGCCCTCGCCACTGTCGTCCTTGCCGATCCGTCGCCACAATCGTCCATCGTCCTCGGGGGTGGCGGGCAGTCGGGGTGAGCCTCCGTGGCCCGGAGCAGCTTGCATCTCGCAGCCTGCGCGGCGGGGTCTGCGGGGAGGGGGGGCACAGAGGGCGAGGAAGTGCGCGGCTTGCGCTCGGTCTATGTTGTCGCAAGACGAAACCAGGACAAAGAAAACTGTCGGACCAGCACTCGGCGGTGTACAAACCTCCTTTTAGTAAACCACCCATTCGTGAAAACGGCATAAGACCGAAACCGACGGACCTGGACCCGCAAAAATGACGACCGCGACGCCCTCTCGCGAACCGAAAACGGCCAATCCGCTAATCGACGTGTCGGGGTAGGAGGTCTATCGAACTCCGAATGTTGTTGCAAGACGAAGCCAGGACAAAGAGAATCATCGGACCAGCACAAGACAAAGGACACCATCGGACCAAGATCAAAGCAAAGACCTTCGAGATCTGCCTGTTCTGGGAGATGCACCGGGCGCCGCGGCCGCTCCGGAACGCTCCCCGGAGCGCTGGAAGGGAGTTCCAGTGAGCGCTGGAACGAGTCATCCCTGTCCTGGCCCCGACGGGGTCGAGGAAGTGCACGGTTGGCGCTCTGCATTATAAATACATATATATATATATATATATATATATATGTTTTTTGTGTTATTTCTATTTGTTGTTGTTTGTGCTGTTTTTGTTTTTCTATTTGTTATATTGTGCTATCTTCATTTTGTTTTTGTTTTTGTTTTTGCTTGTGCTGTTTTTGTGTTATTTCTTTCTATGTGTTTTTGTTTTGTGTCATTGTTTTCTATATGTTTTGTTTGTGCTGTTTTTTTCTTGTTGACTCGCACGCTCGGGCGCGGTGCGTGGACCGCGGGCGCCTGGGCTGGCGGCGTCCAGCCTGAGACCCTGGGAACTGTGCAATGCCCTGCGCCCCACGAAGGGCAAGCGCCGCATCGCTGCACCAGCGCAGAGCCACTCTCGGGGAGGAACATAACCCCCTTTAGTAATACGTGGTCTATTGAAGCCGGCCTTGGTTGGGCCCAAACCTGGCGGGCGCAAGCCTGGAAAATGACGGCCGCGGCGCACTCTCGAGAACCCACAACGGACAACTCACTAACCGATGTGTCAGGGTGAGGGTTCTGTCCATCCTCGACTTTGCCCAGCAGTAGCGCCGCCTCTCTGTCTCCTTCTCTACAGCGTCTGTAGTCCCCTCCTCTCCCTTCCTCGCTCTCTGGTTTCTCTTCTTACGTGTTCTCTCCATCGCTTGATTCGTGACCTCACGGAGGTCGGAGTAAATTGTGGACCCAGTGCGCGGAAAACAAAAGGATTATGCCAACTGAGGGGTGTGCAAGGTGAGGTCGGATTCCCGAAGGAACCGCGGCTGTGTAGCTGAATCTGGAACTGAATGAACCTACAGAGCAGGGAGTCGAAGGGGGGGGACATGCAGAATGTGGTGTTCCCTCTGGGGACTCCCAGCTGGAGACCTATTGGAGATTTTTGGATCCCTCTTGCGACCTTTTGGGTCTCTTGGATATATGCAGGGGCTGCTCCGTCCCTCTCGAGGTCATCTAGTTGGCCACCTTGAAGGTCTTCTTGGACTCTGAAGGCCTCGGGCATAGAAGATGGTGCCTACGCAGCACCCCAAGCATTCCCGATGCGGCGAATGATTCGGAAGGTGAGACCGCCTGGGTGCACCAGGCTTTGAAAAAGATGGCGCTGCCGCGAGCAGGACGACGAGCGACACGACAACGGCGGCGGAGACGCAGGCGAATGGATCCACAACGACGAGGGCGACAACGAAGGAAACGATGGTGGCGGTGAAACAAAAACTTTCGCCACCAGCAAACGACGGCAGAAACGACGACGAAGACGGCGGCGACGGCGGCGAACGCACGAAGGCAGAAGCCGGCGACCGCGACGGCGAAGCCGGCGGCGGGCGGTGGCGCAGACGACGGACGGTAACCACGGCGAGGGCATAGGCACCAGGCCCCAGCAGCCTTGAAGCTGTCCCAGGGGGGCAGGTCCAGCGTGCAGATGCAGGCGTGAGACGTCGGCAGCGACTGCGGCTTCAGGTGGGCGCCTGCCCGCCGCGCGCCCCGCCCGTCGCTGCACCCGTCGGCGTCGGCGTCGGCGTCGGCGTCGGCGTCGGCGTCGTCGTCGTCGTCGTCGTCGTCGTCGTCGTCGTCGTGGTGGTGGTCGTGGTCGTGTCGCCGATATCCTTCTCCTGCTCCCATATCTCCTGTCTGCCATCTGGCTGCCGGGGAAGAGGGAGGTCTCCTGAGGCCTCGGGAAAGGCCTCCAAATGCCAAGGCACCATCGAACAGCGACGTCCCAAACACATCGATCCTCGAGGGGGGTAGGAGGAGCTGGGAGGAGCAGGTGAGGACGGAAATGAGGATGGGGAGGGAAGGAGGAAAAAGAGGACAGGAGGATGAAGAGGGAGGGAAACATGAATGGAAAAGAAACTCATCGAAACGGTCACTGCAACCAGACTTGTAAGCCACCATACCTACGTCGCACCCGAAGGCGAGGAGAGGCCGGTCCCAAAAGAAGCTGCCACTCTCGGGAGCCCTGAGGTGAGATAGCCGTGCGCCAGCCCAGCGCGTCCCATCTGAATGCGCGTCCGGGTGCAGAGGGAAGAAGGAGGAGGAAGAGGAGGAGAAGGATGAGGATAAGGATGAGGGTGAGGATGAGGAGGATGATCATCTATCTTTACTCTCCAGATGCGCAGCGGGTCGTCCCTCTTGCACTTGAGCCTCAGCTGCTACACACACAACACGCGCTGCAACTGCGCGACTCCATGCTCGACGCGGGCGCAACTTCGACCTGTCCGTGTGCTGCCTCGAGGGCCCACTTGGGGCCCGCCGGCACGCAGCCATCGCGGCTAGGGGCCCCGCGCTGCCCACAGCGCTGTTCGCGCGTGTCCTCGGCGGCGGCCCTGGGGTAGGCTCGATTCGATCCTCCATCGCTGGGAGTTGGTCAGAACGGTCGGCAATATAGAGGTGTAGGAAGCGAAATGAAAGCTCCGCGAGGATAGGGCTTGAAACCAAAAACGCCAGTAACTCTTAGCCATGGCGCGTGCGTAACTCAACACAACATTCGGTGCCTCTGCCAGCCGGAAGGGGGAGCTACCTTGTACGACGGGCTTGCCCTTTTAGGCGAATTCTCGCTGCGAGGGCGGCCATCCTGGTCGCAAAGGAGGCGTACTCAGGCTTCGAGTAGGAGATCGACTACATAATTGATTCCCCGAAACGTGTTTTGTCGAATCTACAACATCAGCAGAGTTTTTTTCGTATAGCTGAGAACGTTATGAACAATTTTTGTAGGTTCGACAAACATTTCAATTTAAGGACTCGGAGGGTGGATAAGGAAGAAATCCGAAACCTCATCGACGCAGGCCTCCCCCGTCAGTGGGGCCTCGAGCTGGTGCAGACTCCTGGGAAGGCGGACGGGGGCAGGCTCCTGAAGGACTGGAGGAACGGGATGATGAGGAGGAGGACGATGAGGAGGAGGGAGATGCGGAGGAGGAGGAGGAAGAGGGAAGGAGGAGGGAGGGCAGCGTTGTGATCAATCTGGGTGCCCTCGTCTGCGAGGCTGTGGAGAGGGGAAGAGGAAAATGGCAGGAGGGGGAGGAGGACATGATGGCCGAGCGACACCTGCAGGAGTAGGAGAGACATCTCACTCACCAGTGATTTAAGGAGGAGGAGGGAGGAGGAGGAGGAGGAGGCGGAGGGACAGAGGAGAGAAAGAGAGGAGAGGAGGAAGAGAGAGGAGAGGAGGAGGAGGAGAAAGAGGAGGAGAAAGAGGAGGAGAAAGAGGAGGAGGAGGAGAAAGAGAAGGAGGAGAAGACAATTTGGAGGTCGGAAGAGGGGGAAGGAGGGAGAAGCAGGTGCGCTGGCACTGCGCCTCGGGCGAGGGTGAACAGGTGCTTGCCCCCGTTGAAGCCGACGAGCTGCGCGAAGCCGCCAACCTGCCCCCGCCCCCACCCGGGTTGAGGAGCGGTCGCGCCCGGGGGGGCCGCCGCCGGGGGGGGGAGCGATGAGGTTGTAAGATCTCTGGGAGGCCAAGGGGGACGCCAATTTGGCGCTGTCTGGCGTGCCCCTATCGTGACCGTGCATGAGCGACACGGACAACTCGCTAATCGACGTGTCAGGGCGGGGGTTCTGTCCACCCCCGAAAGATGGGCACGGGGGGCGGTGGACGATGCTGAGGAGGACGTGTCCGGCAGGTTCCCGGGTGCTCTCGGCGCCGGAGGAGAGGTCGGCGGCTAAAAAATGCGGCCCCGAGGGGCGGGGCGCTGCGGGCGAGGGGCCTCAGGCAGGGCAAACTCAACCTGGCATCCCTTCCCATCCTCAGGGACCCCTCCCTCCCTCCCTCCCTCCCTCCCTCTCCTCCTCCTCCTCCTCCTCCTCCTCCTCCGCCTCCTCCTCCTCCTCCTCCTCCTCCTCCTCCTCTTCCTCCTCCTCTCTCCTCCTCTCTCCTCCTCTCTCCTCCTCTCTCCTCCTCTCTCCTCCTCTCTCTCCTCCTCTCATTCCTCCACTCACCTCCTCTCCTGTTCCCCTCTCTCCTCTCTCTCATCCTCTCTCATCCTCCTCTCCTCTCCTCATCTCCTCCACTCTCCTCCTCACTCCCTCCTCTCATCCCTCCACTCTCCTCTCTCCTCTCTCCTCTGCTTCCTCTCTCCTCGCTCCTCCTCCTCCTCCTCCTGGCCTCCCCTCCTCCCTCCTCCTCCTCTCCCCTCTCCCCTCCTCCTCCTCCTCCTCCCTCCTCCTCCTCTCCTTCTCCTTCTCCTTCTCCTCTCCTTCTCTCCTCCTCCTCCTCCTCCTCCTCCTCCTCCTCCAGGGAGTCCTTCCCACTCTGGGGACCCCATCTTTGCGCCGCCGAAGAGGGCTCCCCTCGACTGCGGCTCGCCGCTGGCGTTCCGGAATCGTCCCGAGCGGCCGCATGAGGCCAGAGCCACCAGCCAGCGGAAACCAGACGGAGGAGAGCCAAGTCGAGGGAACGTCGGAGGAGGAGGAGGAGGAGGAGGAGGAGGAGGAGGGAGGAGGAGGAGGAGGAGGAGGAGGAGGAGGAGGAGGAGGAGGAGGAGGAGGAGGAGGAGGAGGAGGAGGAGAGGAGAGGGAGGAGGGAGAGGGAGAGAGTGTTCTCCCTTGGCGACCTGACCGCCCGCCCCTGGCCACTTACCTGCGGCTCTCGTTCGCCACGGCGGGCTGCCATTCGCCTCTCCAACGGCGGCCTAGGATCTGAAGGGGCCCTGGGACAACAACAAATAAATACACAACACACACACAAATAAAACCGATTCCCCATAATTTCCTTATAGTTTTCAAGGCAATTTTTGTCTTGTTCCCCCCCCACTCCCAAAAAATAGAAAAAAACAACAAAAGAAAACTGAAATTTCCCATGTTTTCCTGGGAATCGCCCGATTAAGAGTCTTGGGGTTTCTTTCCGGCCTGAAGATGGAACCTCCGTGGGGGGGGGGGCCGGGCGGGGGGGGGGGGGCGGTCCACCCCGGGGCAGCTTTTGAGCAGATTTTTTTTTGGGGGGGGGGGCGGGAGAGCCGCCGTGGTTCCAACGGGGGGCCCCCTCCGAGATGGGGAGGAGTTCGAGGCAGTTTCGCCAGCACTCGGGGGGCTCTGCTGCTCGGAGGTGGCGCTCCGAGTGGCCCGAGGAGGAAACCCGTCATTCGAGCAGGGGAACCGACCGTCCAGACCTTCTTATAGGCCTGCCACGAAATCTTCTTAGAACAAAAGTATGTTCGGATCACACAAGGCAGTGCTCTTAGAACATCAAGCCGACGTGCTGAAACAAGACGGTCTCCCCACCGTAATATTATCATATGGACGTGTCATGCAAGAACGAAACAAATCTTAGACCATCCTTTGGTGAGCCTCTTGTCAAGCCAAGAAACTTCACCACTACTCGACGAACGCCTTGACCCGGGAACGTTCACGTCTCCTGGCCCAGACCCCCGACGTCATGATTATTTAATTTTTTTTCATAACGTCGACCCCCAGAGGTCTCGACCCAATCCCCGAGACCGGTTTCTCAACCCGAGTAATTTTTTGATGGTCCCGAGGCCCGGTAAGGGCCCCCAGAAACCGAAAAAAGTGAACACACCTCCCGTCATGACTTTTTCATTACTCGAGGGGGTCTGGGGGGGGCGACCCGTCTGCGTCCGCCGCCTCCCGCCGGCGGCGTCGCCGCCGCTCTACTTCCACGGCGCCCGCCGGCCTTTCGCCGGAGAAGAGGGGAAGCAGCTTCTCGGTCCCTCAACGGCGAGGCTAAAGGGGCCCAAGGATACACAAATAGATGCACACAAATCCCAGGATCCCCCGATATTTCCCCATCCCCATATTTTCTGGGTCTTCGTCTTCCCCCCACTTCCCATATTTCCCCATATTTTCCTGGGAGTCGACGATTCTTTGTGTCTGTGTGCTTTTTCCCCTCCTGCGAGGCCTTCTCTGGAGAGGGCCCGAGAGAGCATCGGCGGCCGACCCTCCGAGCAACTGGCGGGCACGGCCTGCGGCAGGGCCCTGGCTGGCAGTCTGGCCGCGGGCCGGTGCCCTGCGCGAGCTCCCCTGGGAATCGGCGCTGGTCGTGTGTGCTGTGGGGTCGCGCGCAACACCACACCGCTCACCCTCCGGATCTTCGCCTCTGGCTCCTGTCCAAGGCGTTCCTTTTCCTGTGCAAGCTCCTCGGCACCGCCTGCACCCCGGCCCGCCCTCCGGCCGCCTTGTACCCTGTCTCCCCAATTAGAGCTGTGCGTAGCCCGCCTAGCTTTTACCGGAAGAGGTTCGCTCTCGCCCCGCAGACCAAAAAGTGTGTGCTGTGGGGTCGCGCGCAGTCGAAGTACTAGATTGGGGAGCTCGAGACGAGAAGCGGAACCACCCCTTCTCAGCCTTAGGAGCGCATGGATGTACGCGGAGCCGTCGACGAACAGCCGTGGAATGATCTACGGAACGCGAGCCCCTTTTCCGAACCCAAAGCGGCTCGAAATGGGTACGAAACAGAAATAAGTCTGATGCTCAACAGAAGACGTTGTCCAACACAGACAGCAAGCGCTGTTGGGCAGGCGACGTTTTGCCTTCAATAGGCTACATCCGCAGCGACGCTGACAACGAGTCCTGTTCAAAGTGGGCAGGAAGTGCTGTCGGTCCTCGTCGTCATTCTTTTCTTAGCCGTTTCGCTCGTGCCGATCGCAGCTTCTTGACCAAAGGCCTCCTAGATGGGGTCCGAATAGATGGCGTCGGAGGACCGCACCGCATCGCCGATGCATCGGCGACGCATCGCCGATGTGTCGACGATGCACCAGTAACGTCGGCGATGCATCGGCGCAGACGGCGTGGAGGAAATCGGGCTCCACATCGAGCCGTATCAGCGATGCATTGGCGACGCGGCGCGATCCTCCTGACCCCATCTACTCGGACCCCATCTTGGCGGCCTAGATTGGCTGTGCCTCCCGACTGGTTCGGCAGCCCGCGGTAAGCCCGTCTCCCCTCGCGCGTGCGCAAGCATGCGCGCACATGCGCGTGACCAGACACGCACGCGCACCCTCGCAGGGCGGGGACCTCGAGGGGGTGGGAGGACGAGGACACACCGATGGGGGCGGCGACCGAGGGAGGGAGGACGTCCTTGGGCGGCACGCCGCCGAGGGATGCCCTTATGCAAAACAACGATGGGAGCACTTTTCCGTCCTCAAGATCGGCCAAGGCTGTGACACGTAGGGGTTTTTGAAACTTCTTGGCATGCCGGTCTGTCCCCGTTTTTCGGTTGGGCCAAAAACGGACAGTGGAGAGCGGGGAGACGTGCCGAGGGGGGAAACGAGGGGGCAGGCCTTCTCAGCAGGGCACTCCTGGAACTCGCCATCGCTCGGACGTCCATTCCCTGCTTTTTTTTCTGTCTCGTGTGTGTTTTTTCGCCAAATGATCAAGGATGCTCCTCCATGGTCCTCGCCAAAGGAAAAATGCACACGTCCGAGCGATGCCAAGGGAAGCGCTCCAACCTTCTGAGGGACCGTCCGCGGCTTCGGAGGAGGCATATGAAAGAGCTTTTCGGAAGGCCGGAGGCCGTCTGAGCCTTCGGAAACGGCTCACTCTGTCTGCTCCCCCTCCCTGGCCGCGCCGCCGAGTTGTGCAGTGCATACCGTGCGCCAAGGAGGGCCAAAGGGTGGAGATGCACGGGGATCGACCTATAAGCAGCGCTTTGCGTCTTTACGTTTGTTTTGTTTTTCTGGTTCTGTCTTCGGTCCGCCTGTGCTGTGCAGAACGAGCTCGAGAGTAGAACGGCCCACGAGATCGGCAAAAACACCGTTCAGGACGATCCCTGCGGAGACGAACCGAGTCTTGTCATTGCGGGGTGCAGGCGCCGACCACGACGAAGAAAGATCTCGGGGATCCGACCCGGGTCCATCCAGCTCCGGGTCCGTCAGGCCTTGCATCATCCTGCAGGATCCCGCAGGATCCTGCGCCCAAGCCTGGGTCGATGCGACCCTGGCCCTGCAGAATCTTGCAGGATCTGGCGCTCGGGCTGCTCCTGTTGGCATGGGCCCCGAGGGCTGGGCGGCGGAGGAGCTCCGTGGGCGCAGGGGCCCGCGAGGGGCCAGCAGCATCCACGACGCCCAGTCTCGGCGCTACAGGGGGGCCGCTTAAGCTGTCCGCTGCGTTTTTTTTTTTTTTGGGGGGGGGGGGGGGTTGCACCGAGACAGCGGGGAGGGAGAAGAGGAGAAGAGAGGAGAGGAAAGGAACGGAGTAGGAGACGGAGTAGAGGTACACAAAACGAACTGCATCAACTACACTCTGGAGCGGCCAAGAGGGGGTGTTCCCAACAGGGGGGGTGCAAATCAGACCCGCTGGCATTGCCGGCCGCGCGGGGGCCAGGGCGTAACGAAATAAGAAGAGGCGCCATGAAATCAGGGGAAATATCATGGCCCACGCCATGATATCCACCCCCCCTAGTCATCACCCCCCTCTTTGCCGCCCCCGATACACCTGGGGCGGTGCGCGCGGGTTTCTTGGATATCTTGGATCTGCGCTGGGGCTGCGTGCCAGGGAGGGGGTTCCAGCGCGGGTCCAAGAAATCCGTGCGGACCGCCCCAAGTTTATGTTTATGCCGTTTTATTTTCGTATGGGGTGAAACCGCAGAGGTGGACCATGCAGGCCGGGCGGCATGACATGAACTACGTGACAGACAAACGCGAGCGGGCGTGTATATGACACATGCACGCGCGATCCTGGTCCTAATGGTCCTCGTCCTACGCCCTTCAGTTTATAATCCTCCACATCCCTCTCGTCCTTCTCTTCGTCGTCCTTCCTTTCCTTCCCTCTCCTCCTCTTCCCCCTTTTGCCTCTCAATCTGCAAATACTTGTTCCTTTCTCTTCGAGTGCGACAGACGTAGTCTCCAAGCCGCACCCATTGAGCCCGAACGCACGGTGCAAGGTGCAGTCACTATCCCCTCTTTCATGACTTCTGGATGCCCCTGCACAATTTTCCTAATTCGCGGAGCGCCGCGCGAGCACATCATGAACAACTGCCATTGTTGTTGATCATTATTCGTGTCTTCTTATTTCCTCGTCCTCGTCCTCGTCCTTCCTCCTCCCCCTCCCCTCCCCCTCTCCCTCCCCCTCCTCCTCCGCCTCTTTCCTCCTCCTCCTCCGAGCCCTCGTAATCCACCTCCCCCTTCTTTGGCTTCCTCCTCCTCCTCTCACCCTCCTCCTCCTCCTCCTCCTCCTCCTCCTCTTCCTAATGTGATGCTTCTCCTGCTCGCACTGCGTCTTTGCCTCTTGCATCATCCCACGTCCTGCTCCCAAATCCACCCGATCCTCTCCTTCCTCCTCCACCTCCCGCCTCTCCCTCCCCGTCCTTCCCGCTCCTCCTCCTCCTCCCTCTTACTCCTTGTGCTCCTCCTCCTCCTCCTCCTCCTCCTCTACAATTACACAATATGAAAATACTCTCCCACTTCCCCTGATGGCGTCCCGAAGATGGCCGACCCCCCCCGCGTACTGTTTTTTTACACACAGGATTCCCGGGAAACGGGTTTCCGCCTGCGTTTTTTTCAAAATGCTGCTCTCGCTGAGGCGCCGGCCTCATGTCTGCTCCCGAATCGTTCCGAATCGTGCTCCCGCTGCAGCGTGGGCCTCATTTTCGGATCGGTGTTTGGCCTCCGTCGTTCAGGATGGCGTTCTCGCCCCAGCGCGGCCTCTTTCTCGCGCGCCCATCCGCCCGCCACCACCGCGCCGCACCACCACCATCCATCGACCATTTTTTTACCCACCACACTACCACGCACCACTCATCTCTTACCACTCACCACCGACCAACCCACACTACCACCACCACCACCACCACCACGACCACCACCACACCACCACCACCACCACCACCACCACCAACCTACCACCACCACAACCAGCACCACACAACCACACCACTCCAGCACCTCACCCAGCACTCACGCAGCAAGCACAGCACCAGCACACAATCCCGCACACACCAGAAAAAATAAAGAAATTAGTCCCGAAAAAACACGCACGCACGCACGCACGCACGCGCACCACCACCCACTACGCACGCGCGCGCGCGCGGAGCCACAGGTCCGCTACGACACGCGTCCGCGGATAGAGAAAATCAGCGCCATGGTAAGGGATGGGAGGGAGGGGTAGGACGTCAGATATGACGCGAGCGCACCTAGCTTGCCCTCCTCACTCCCTCTCTTCCTCCCCCCTCCTCCTCCTGCCACTCCTCGTCCCCCGAGCCTGCCGCCAAGGCGCAGGCGCGCGCCCAACCCCCACCCCCTGGGGAACCGGCACGCGGCGGCTGCCGGTGGCGAACTGGAGCAGGTCTTGGAGCCGGTCCTCGGCAGGGGGGCCGGGAGGAGGGGGCTCCCCCCCCTCCTCCTCCTTGTCCTCCTCCTCCTCCAGCTCCAGTTCCAGCTCCAGCTCCTGCTCCTGCGCCTGCTGAGACACGGGGGCGGAATGGACAGGCCACCGCCGATACCGACAAAACTCCAAGGCACCGACCGCTTAAAAAGCACTCCAAAATACTACCAAAAAAAAAAAAGAAGGTCACATCCGACGCAGCGATGACTTCACGGGTCTGGGCAGGTCAGCTGAGGCAAGAAGACAACCCCGGCGCGGAGGTCCGAGGGCCGGGGGGGGGGGGCAGGACGGCCACTGCTCGCGCCTGCCATGGGAGGCGGTGAGGGGCAAGGGGGGGGGGGCGGACACTTCCTGCGCCCCCGCGGTCCGCCCTAGCTCGCCGCTCCCGCCGCTTCCATGGAGAAGGAGGAGGCAACCCGACTGCTCGGGCAGAGCAGGCGAGATGTCCGACAAGACCTCTGACAAAACCAAGACGCCCGGCAACGAAGAGTAATAATAACGCAATGCGACAGTGCCTTCAAAGAGCGACGTGCAGCACGCAGGCGCAGTGGGGAGTATTAGCGACGACGACGGCGAACAGGACGGGCACAACAGACCCTACACACATAATTGCCAACATGGTCCTCTTCCAACGCTCACAGATCAACCGATATCAGGACGACCCCCGCAGATGCTCGAGCAGTACGCGATACCGACCCAAAACAGATTTCGAGCACCTAACAACAAACGACGAACAAGACACCCATAACGACAACGTGTCACTGATCAACGCTTTACCACGCTGCAACGGCCAGATCCACACCGCGATGTCTCATAGACAGCAAGGCGATACACAAGGACCCAACAAGATACGGATGGCAATGGTACCCTTCCGAAAGCAAAACGTACACACCCAACGCGACGACGAAAGGAGGACAACACCCCAACAAACCACGAAAAACATGCGGCAGACAAAGAAACAGACTAACGCAATGCAGCCATTCCGCACAAAAACCACAGACGATAACATACCAAGACAGGAACAAGAGCAACAACGATAACGTAGCCAAATCAACAGGACCAACTACCCAAGCATTCGCCAACATGGAAGCTCAATATACGAACTTGACGATACCAGAAACCTCAACAACGAATACAAGCCGCGACGCCGCCGCTTGCGGACTATATGATCGACGATAGGAAGCTACACCTTGCAGCGCGCTACGCGTTGCAGAACGCAGCGAAAGGCAACAAACAACACAACGACAATCACATATATACGGACACGTCCTATAACATCAAGAGCCCTCCGAGCTGTGCTTGGGCGTTCGTTATATGGCAGGAGGACCTAGAGAACGGCGATCGGCACATACGAGGAATATCAACGGGAATCGTCGACGAGAGCCACATCATGAACATGCACTGCCGAGGACCATCACCGACACGACGGGCGAGATAATGGCGGTTGTGCAGGCGATCGTGTGGCCAATATCGACCAATGAGCAGCAACAAGTTACACTGCGCGCGGACCACGAGTACGTCATGAGGCTGTGCAAAAGGAATGCAGTGGCAAGCGCCGACCACGACGTCGCAAAGCACCTCAAGATCTTTTTCGATGTCGCCAACACGATTGTCAACATCGAGACCGAACACGTTCCGAGTCTCGAGGGCATGCCGTGGAACGACCTGAACGATGGCAGATCAAGGCAACAACGAAAAACCTGCGAAAGTGGAGGGTGCTGCGACGAAATAACATGCAACTTCAAGGATATCATCAGAGCAAACCGAGACTGCCAATGAGAAGGGGCACTTGAGGAACAACATCCAGACCGACACGCGTACCCGACGCAGAAGAAACGATCATAGGTGCCTCAACATCCCAAACCGACAAGCGGAAATCAAACACGCGATGGTACCTGCAATCAAAGGAGACAACCATCAAGCTGAACACCATGACCAACAACGTAGAGAGCGCGCGAAGCGGGGGGGAAGACGCAGAATACATTCACGAAAGCAGCAGGAATCGCACAAAGGCAGTTCCAGCAATTGGGGGTCCATGTCGCTGGCGTTCAAGAAGCGCGCAACGACGAGCAACGGCTACTACGACGCGGGATGCGAGTTGTGGGTCCATATGAACGAGCCATCGGTCGAATCAAAAAAATGACCGATGTAGTTCGACCCCGGCAACTGCCGCGCCATGGCGTCACCGCCCAGAATAGTTGCCGAGAATATTGAAACGACCGCTTTCAAGATCTCGGTTTGCGTCTGTCATGCGCCACGCCCCAAGAAGAACGAAGACGAGAAGCGATAATATTGGACTGAGCTCGGACATCTATTCGACAAGCACAACCCCAACGTGATCCTCACTGACGCCAGCGGGAGGCTCGGAAGCATGCAGGCAAGTTGGGCTGGCAATGCAGGCGAACCTCAGACGGAAGATAAGAATGGGAGTCAATTGCATGATATAGCAGCCAGCGAGAAGTACACAATAGTGAAATAGAATGCCTAATGGGAGGAGCCACCGCGCATGGAGAGACGCAAAGGGCAATGCGCACAAGATCGATTAAACCATGGCGGATATGCAATACGCGCCGAGCATCGCAGGTTCAAGAAAGATACCCGACATCGAGACAATGAAGAAGAGACAGAAGGCTGACGCTGCAAGAGAAGATCACACACCAGTACAAGCAACAATGGAATGGAAGGCAATGCACCGAACACCGCGTCAATTGTTTCCCAAGATAGACCGGCACGCTCATCCTGACGCAGAAGAAATTAAGCAATCCAGGGACGCGTTGAGTGCAACCATGATGCCGAGCTGGAACATTAATTATGACGAACACATCTACCACTACGTGCTCGCCATCATGGGAGCAGCGCAGGACGCGTTCCAGGAGGCAGGCCAGAAAGAAGTACCAGGGACACATATCATAAAACGCGCTCTGCTTTATCCTCGACAGACGAAGACTAGTCAAAATGCTCAGGAAGGCGACCGAGCACGGCCAACATCTCCCAGCGGCCAAGAGAAGGATACCCGAGCAGATCGAGTAGACGATCAACAATCCCACAAGGAGCATGCCACATCATGTTGCACGCGACGTCTAGAAGGAAACCTTCTTCATGACAGCCCAGGCGCACCTCGCTGCCCAGACAGGCGCAACCTAGCAGTGCATCGAGGCAAAAGTCTGGACCCACGCTACGCGCCACGACTACGACGCTGTCGTCGAGCAGCAAGCGAAGCAAGCGAAAGAGGCGAAGGATGCACGCCAGCACCGCGGCGAGTGGAAATACGCCAAGAAGATACTTCTATTCGGAGGCAGACGGCGACGCAACGCACGAGCCTGCCCGATGATAAGCAATGGCGGCGGCGACCCAATTGCGACGACATCGTCAACGGGAGAAACGAGAAGGTGCTTCGGAAACCATGGAGCCGCGAGAATATTGCACCGCGAACGAATCACCAACAGGTGCAACAATGACAAAAATCTCGCGGACGGCAGCATCAAGAGGGACACCGACAACTTTGCGGGCGTCTGTGAGATAACCGAGATCCTCGCTAAAGCAGCATGCTTCAGGGCCCCTGGCCAAGATAACATATCAGATGACCTCGCGAAGATAGCCCCGAAAGAAGTGACAAAAGCAAATGCATCCATTCTTTGGTAAGGCCACCTTACACTGCCGAAAAAGGAGTTGCGCGCGAAGGTTCACGGATGCCATACTTGTGGAAGGGTAAGGGATGTGAAGAATCCCCACAGCAACCAGCGGCCACGACAGATACATCAGGCAATGCATGAAGGGCCCGATGCCAAACCTATTCTTCAGCGCGCAGACTGGGGACAGACAGCGCTACAACGCGAACTGCAACCACGCCACCATTCAGCTCCTCTTCGACAGCGCGAAAAGCATTGGCCTTATACTTCTCATGGCCGACCTCAATGCATCATTCCGCAACCTTACCAACGCCCTCGTCTATAACGCGAAGCATGGCGCGGACGAGATCGGGGACCTGATGGAGAAGATCGAGATTCACAAAATCACGCATCCTGCCGCGCGGGGTTCTGAGCAACAATGCAATTGTCAACCAGCGCGTGGACAAGGAACACATCGCCACTATGTTGGCAGAAGCTCATCGAGGGGCGTGGTTTTACATAAGCACCGAGGCGACGTTTGTAGCGCAAGGACTTCGCTCGAGACCAGGAGCTCCTACGGCCGACTTCGCATTCGACGTTCTCGTGTCCGAAGTCGCGAAGGAGTGCCATGGAATGCGTCGCAGGAAGCAGCGGCAGTACTGATGCCCAAAGCACAGAGCATCCTAAGACAAGGTGAGGGGGAACAACTGCTTACGACAACATCCTTGGCCGACGACGCCAAGGCCGCAACCGCCGCCGACAACGGCGACAAATCGTGCGCGCTATGTGGGGCCATCTCAAAAGAACTACACTCGCGCGCGGATTGCCGATCAACGCCGGCAAATCGAGCTTTCGCGAATACCCAGCAGGGCAAGCGTGTAGCACGGGAGATGGTCATCACCAGACAGAACTTCGCCGACATGAGCATGCAGGTGACGATTGCCAGGTCGACCAAACTGTGGGGGGCAATGGTCAGCGACAGAAATGACATGATCCAAGAGGTTGCATCGCGAACCATATTCACGAGAAGAGCGCTATTTAGACGACGCGCCGCATCCACAGGCGCCAAAGTTCACTGCCTGGAAGCGCTTGATTCCACAGTGTTTTTCAATGCTGGTACGTGAATGCTATCTCAGGCTTCTGATTACGAAAGAATCGGCGTCGCATGCGTGTCAGCAACAAAGCAAACAACTGGCATCGCCCACGCAGAGATGAGAACGGAAACGATCACCAACATGGAAATACTCAAAGGCGAAGCTACCAACCGTGGAGATGCGGATGCGCCAACTAAGACTCCGACAGCATGTGCGCCTCAATGCACAGTGTACAAGGGAGCTCCAAGCGCTAACAGACGAGACATGCACAATTCCAGGAGCGTGGGCAGACATGATCAACGAGGACATGAACAGTACAAACGAGGTCATCCGAGATCGAGGAGACGCAACGAGGATAAGTTATGTAGTTGAATGGTTCGCAGCGGCCCGGGAAGACGCACGAGCGACAGAGAGCATGCCAACGCTTGCAACGCGGAGGGCAATCGCATGGACGGATGATGAGGTAAGACGGAGAGCGGAGCTGACGGCTATTCACAACAACTGCATCTCCGAAATTTGCCGACATCGAGACCATCAGCGACGAGCATATCCAGAAATTTATGTGCTACCGATGAGGAGCGAAGCTTGGAAGCACAGCTGCATGCGCATTGCATACCAAACGACGCCATCAACTAGCACATGCCATCGTCAACGTCGCGACGGGGACCATGTGCCAGGTCTGCCTAAGAGGGTACAACACACCGAACAGGCTCCTCACACATGTCAAGGTGTCGAAGATATGCGCAGCGACGTGGCTCTACTCGAGAACTTATCCCACAAGAGACGAAGTAGAGAACAACAAGGAAACCATTAAAAGGATACGACGAACAAGCAAGCGCAATGGTTGACCCGAGGGCTACGCCGCGATCCCGTATTTACAACTCGCAGGACCGCCAATCGGACCGACGCTTACGGAAGTTGACGTCTTCGCGGCACTTATGCCAGCAACAGAGCCCGCGCAGAAACGCGACGAAGCTGATTGCGGTAACCAAGAGGACGGGACCGACAAAGAAGCTGCAGGAGCGCCAAACATCATATCCAACATGTCCGACAATTACGCGTTCGTCACCGCGAGGCTGAAGACGATCCAGGACGGTGTCGTTTCACGTGGAGACAATACAGAAGTCAAGATGAGCCACGACGGTGAGACAAGCAACAACAGCGCAGAAGAGATCTTCAAGCTCCTCCGCGAGACAGAAGCTCTAATATGAACCGCCGACATCAACATCGACATCGTCAGCAAAGACGAACCGATGCGAAACGACCCGTCTCCTTGGGGATTTACGCACCTCAAAGAAGCCACACGCCAAAAGGCACGAGCAGCCAACGAAGCGATATGGCGGGCGACATCTATCGCATACACAAGCGTAGCGACCTTGACAAACTGTATCAGGTAGGACATGAAAACTATGGCACCGGCAAGGAGTGCACGCGAGAGGCTTCGAGACCATTGCAAGACTAGCCAAAACAGAATAAAGACGTGAAAACGCGAACGACATCATCGGCAACATCACGAACAAAACAGGGTCATCCGATAATGCGAGGCGATGGCGCTACAACGATCAGGTGGAGCCTGGCACTACCTTGCGGATACCAAATACGACGGCATAGACGACCGCAACATAGCCCGTGACAAGGGGCAAAGGGACAGCGACGACGGCGGCGCCCAATCCGAGTCGGCGGCGCGGCCCTAAGGACAAGCAGATCACCATCGGGGGCGCCTCTTCGGACGGCCGAAGGGGGCGAGGCCGTCGCCCACCTCTCACGACTGGCCCCGCGGCCGCGGGGCGCCGCCACCCTGGCCTGGACTTGAGGCTTTCAAGACTCTCAAGACCAACTGCAAGTCTGACATGCTGCAACACCTGGGCATTACGATGCACGACAGCCTGCTGAGGGTTATACCCCTCTAGAACGTCCTTGACTGGGCCCCGCTCTTCCCCGTCCTTCCCTCGAGCGCCCTTGAAGCTCCCCCGCCCTGCCTCTGCGGGGCCCTCTGGGGTCTCCCTCTCTCTTCGCCCTGCGCGCTGTCCCGTGGTGGCGGCCCCTGTCCGCCCCCTCTCCTCCTGCGCGTCGTTTCTTTCGCTGCCGCGCTCCTGCCCTGTCGTGGCCTTTTTTTTTTTTGGGGGGGGGGGCGCCGCATTGCACGCTCGCTTTGGCACTCCCACCATCACCGCAAATTCGCTGCAACGGGATGGGGGTCGTCTTCCATATATGGGGTGGTGGTCGGTGGCTAAGAAGGACCCTGGCTCCATGATTTGCCCGTCGGGCTTGCGCTGCCGCGCGCCTGTGAGCTTGGCGCCCCCTGGGGGTCCTTCTCTCCGAGGCCCCTGGAGGCGCCCCGCCTCTCCTTCCTGGCGGGGGCGTCGTCTGGGCACTTTCCGAGGCCCTCTTCTCTCCGAGGCGTCTCGAGGATTTTGGGCCCCCTCGAGGGCGAGGGGGGCACCGAGCGTCGCGCCGCGCGGCGGGCGCGGCGCGG